ATGTTGTTAGTGAGATATGTCCTAGAGTTAGTATTGGAAGTCCTCAATCTAAGTAGTTGTTCAGTGACTTGCTAGTTATGTGACCTGAATCTCCATTTCCTCATCTGTGAAATGGGGCAAATAATTGCATAACTCATATCACAGGGCTATTTTTAGGATCAAATGTGGAGATTATAGATAAAAATACTTGGAAAACCAAAAAATGCTATGCAAATATAAGTATTATTATTATTATATTATAAATGTGTTAGATCATTTATTCCTAAAGGAGAGGAATACCAGGTATTATATCTCTTCACATCCCTTCTTCACATCACATTTAAAATTTAATCATAATAAAGAAAATATCATGCTGCTGAAAAGCAGATAGTCTCTTCATGAAGATCCAGCTGATAGAAATTGTAACACTTCCCATGTGCAGGGGCCCATTTTGCACCCTGGTTGGCCATTACCTCGTCTAGTTGATGCTTAATTGTTCCATGTTAAGTGATTGGAGAAACATTTATTAAATGCTCACCTGCCAAGTTGCTATACCAGAGGCTGTAAAAAACAGTTAGGCAGGTGAGGTTCCTGCCTTCTATATGACTACATTTATCTTAAGAATGATTGGATATATTTTGTCCATGTTTTTCCAGATAAATAACTAAATACACATTGCTGTGTTCTATGTTGATTCTGGACCAGAGGTCACACAAAAACTACATTTCATCCTTAGGGCCTAGTGTTGGCCTGAATCATTTTCTAATATCCCAGAATGAAATGGGGGAAAGCATTGATTTATCTGGCAGCGAAGTCTAATAGCCAGCAGTATAACCAGCTAATTTTCTAAAATGAATATCTTCCCTGCTACTGTTGTTAACCACAGACAGTCCTTAGGTGCCTTAAGAAAAGGCCTCAAGCTTCTTCATGTTTCACCATTTCATTGCAGAGCCTGATCATTTAGGGAACAGTCTTGTTCCAGACAGCTTTAATTAAACTGTACTGAGAAACCAGATATAGATCAATGGAAATAATCCATAACAAGAGGCTAATCATGTATTTAACAGTGTTCAGTCCAGTTCAATCACCTTCTACCATTTCAGTGGCCTTACATTCGTGTGGCAAAGGCTGAATGTGTATATGTATTTTTTTTTAATCCATCCCATTAGTGGCCATATGCTGGGGCTTCAAGGGATACACAAACTGTCTGCAATCTGCCAGGGATTTAGGGACATCAATAATTTGTGAATAGTCATGTTGGTACTGGTCGAAGGGTTAAGTGCTCTGCACACCAGGGGCACCTCTTTGGGGATTGGAACTCTTAGTTCACTGTTAGGAACCTTATCCCCTATGAGGCTTTCTACTACATGCTGCTTGTCAGATCCATCCGGCTATCTCCAGGAAGCTTTATTAGCTCTGGGATTTTCAGATCTGTGTTAAGTACTGATCTAATGGCATCTTTGAGTTAAAAAGTGGAAGAATAGTATTGTTGCAACCTCAAAGAGCTTTTTATGTTTCATGTTATTAAGCATACGTTCTTTCTCTTTACTGACTCTCTGGAATGGAAAGTCCTTATAAGAATCCTCATCAGGAGAGTATCCCTACAGAGAAAAAAGGAGAGTACTTACCTACTTCACAGTTTATCCCTAGGACTTCCTGGTAGATTGGGTTGTTAGTCAAAGTAAAAAGATGAACATCTTATTAAAATAACAAGTGCAGGCATGAAAAGCTTTTCTTGCAAGAAGTCAGGTAAAGTGAATGATTTTTAATGTTGGTTCATTTTGCCAGTAGAGCAAAAAAGATTTCTTAAATAGCAACTGCTCCAGAACAGTGTTCCTCCTACCTACAGGGACACACACACACACACACACACACCCCCATGTCCCTCACTGGATCTGTATTGTTCCTGGAGTCATCCAGCTCCCATTCTACCCATCCTATGCTCCCTATTTAAACCATCCCAGATTTCCCGTCCCACCATAGTGGGGTTTCTCATCAGAGATATTCCTAGTCTGTTCCATCAGCAACACAACAATCAGTGTTATTGACAATAATTTTCAGTTGGATTGACCCTCACAACCACAGTGTCCAAATAGACATAACCTTTGTCCTCATAAAGATGAACGTTCAAGCAGCAGATCATTTTGGAGAAAAAATGTTTTGTTTTGTTTTGTTTTGCCTGAGGTTCCAAAAATACATCTAAGGATATCCTTTATTTTACTCATCTTGGGCCAAATTGTCATAGTTCAGCATCACATGCATTTATTCTATTTTAAGCATAAAGGTGTATGTTTTTGCTGGTTTGTGGTTGATTTCTTATACCTATTTTTGTTTCCAGTAATTCTAGTCTTCTTATTCCCAATGTAACTTTACCTATCTCTTAACTGTCCCTAGATGATGTCAAGATGATCTTCCTAGACTTCCTAACTTCGTAGCTAACCCTCAGTGGGCACCCAGATTGCGTCTACTTGGGAAAATGCCGGACACTAATGAGTATTTTGTTTAATGCAATGGAAACTGAAAGTGCCTCACTTCTTCCCTACCTGATCAATGCCTACTTCTGTTGTTTGAATCTATCCATACATCCTAAAACCAAGCAGAGAGGTCAGGAGAGTGTAGAGCATTTGCTTCTTGATAAGGACTTGGAAAATCAAAAGTTTTGCCCCTAGAGGTTCCTATCCCCAAGGTATGAGTTGGATGTCCTTGAGTTATTGCTTCATCTGCATTATCCTGTGTTCATTTATGCCTTTCCCACTCCACTTCCTGCTAGTATTCCATTCTTCATAAATTGGGTCTGTTTTTATAATTACTATTAGCTCTATTTAATTACTTTTTTGAAGAACAATAAATTAATCACAGCTAAAATCTAGGCCTAGCAATATGTATCTCCGTGAACTACATATTTATTATCTTTTTATCCAATTCTAATTTAAAATGTATCAAGCAGAGAATATTTCAAAGTCAATTATTTGAGTACTACTTCTCATTTACTTCAAAATTCAAATTTACCCCTCCCAAAATTAGTAATTCCTTTGGTGGGTCAACATAATAAAATATTTCTGAGGAGCCATCACAGGTGGTACAATTGTCCTGTCCAAAATCATTGGCAAAATATCCTCAGTGTTTCCAACATCCCATTGAGCCATATCTGATAGGATAGACACCATTCTGTTAATGTCACAGGGCCCTCATAAGCAATCTTTATAATTTATGACTAAGTTACATGTGCTATATAATTTTCAAAAGTAAAGCTTTCAGGCCATTAAAAAACTCAAAAGAGATTTACTTTGTTTTCAGAACTTTTCATCTGTACTCTCTTATCTCCCTCAAATTTTTCCTGGTTTTGTTATTGGTTGAGGACTTTAGAGATTTACTAAAAAGGTCTATGAAAATGGGATGGATTGATGGGTTTTGAATCTGAAGGACAGGAAAAAGGCACCAGCTGAAGCCATTAATTTTAAAACTTGGATTTTAGTGCCTTTTGCTTTGTTTCCAAGCCAGCTTCTTGCCTAACTCATACTGTCTGGTTCCTTTAGAGACTTGGAAACTAGGATAGCCCCCCCAAATCAGAGTTTATAATGGAAAACCTTGTCTGACCCTTAATAGTCATTACTCTCCTGGACCACTGTAATACCTAAACTAAGTTGTTTATTGCACCAAACATGAAGTCCTTTGACCCTGGAGGTTGGGTATTGATCTCAGACCTACTTCTGTCAATATTCACCTCCAATGTCAACAGTTTTCCACGTGGAATACTCAGAAATGATTTAGTTTTCCTAATCTATACAGCCACAGATATTCTAATTCCTATAAATTACAAACATGTCCCATTTAGAGGATCTGCTTGTATCAACCATCTCTTAAATACATAAAGAAATTTACATTTTAGAGACTTTCATATTGGGTTTGGTTTTAGATACTATTGGGGGATTTGCACTTGTATTCTTAAATCCATATTATTCTACTGAGGGTAGTTATAAGAATCTATATGATAGGTGCAAGCTTCATGTAAACATACTCTGAGAAAACATGCCTTGAAGCCAACTTGAAATAAATGTGTCACAAATTTAGCAGGAATAGCCAAACCATTTTGAATCACATATGTATGGAAGGGGGGAAAACGGTCACTTTGAGAAAGAATATTTCAGTGTTTTCTTTGCCCGTGGATAACTCAATAGCAGGTTCATTTTTAAAGCAGTGGTCTTTTTCAGATTGTCAAATGCATATCATAGAATTATACTCTTGGCAAAGTTTCTGAGCGTCAGTTCCATTTTCTTGACAATTTAAAATCCAGTTATCCAATTATAACTAAAGGTCATTAGTCGAATGTGGCAACTTTGTCAGTTTTGAATTTCTAAAAGAGTTTCCTAGTTTACAGAGGAAATTCTACTGTAAGAGAAGTTTTTATTGTCCTGGTAACTTAGATGATATTGTCGAAAGTATTTTGTTTTCTTTCTGGTATTTTATCACTTGGGCTAACTTCACGGGACAGCAATCCCAAAGTGTGCTTTGCTACTAAAATGAAAGTCAAGTATACACCCCACTGGAGCAAATAAATGGCCATCGTTTCTTACTCTATTTAATTATCACAAGATTTGGTGATGGTGGTTGTGGTGGTGATGGGATATAGTTTGACGCAGCACTTGCCTGGCCATTCCTTCTCTGTCTAAGCACAGTTATTTTAATTGTTGGGTTTGTTAGCATTATAGCTGGGAAAAGAAACCAGAAAATTGGGAGGCAAAGGAAACAATGTGGGATGGAAGATGAGAATACTTTCAAAATTATTTCTCCTTAGAGTGATGTTGGTTTGAGGGGAAAGTTAAAGTCAGGTCTGGTCCAAGTGATTTTTAAGGCATTTTGCAAACTATATTACAGGACGAAGTGTTATGTTTTGTTGAATGTTTTCAGGTATTTGTAAGGTACAATGGACTTTTTTCCCAAAAGCAACCTGACTTATAATGACAGATGAAAAACAAATAAAGTTGGGAAGCATTCATAAGTCCTTTTTATTCACATTTTAGGACTCCAGGCATTGCTAGAAGAACAGATGGATGCGGTTCCTGCACTGGTTCTGGTACCTGTGACTGATTTACCCAAAAGAGAAATTATCCATGTGGCATGCTGGCTCAGTGCTTAGCCCATACCTCAGAGAGCAAGAGCTGCTATAATTTCCTGGGAAAGAAAGAAATATTTGTACTAATTGCATTCTGTCTTGCCTTTCAATTTTTTAGTTGTTCTTTTATTGATGCTTTTTTTAAACATTGCTGTCACTTCCCAATGATAGAATCTTCCTTTGTAACAAAGTACAGTTAACAAAATAAATTACCATTATACGCCAATTCTGACAAGGCATGTTTCATTCTGCACCTCTAGCCCACCACATCTCAGCAGAGCAGTGGGAAGCATGATTCACTATCAGTCATCTGGAGGAGGACAACTGGCCACAGCATTGATCAAAGTGCTAAAGTCTTTCATTGTTGTTTTCATTTACATTTATTCTGTATTCTACTGAAATGTCCAGACATCTTTGAACTGACAAGTGCAAAGCTAGGCGAGAAGTTTTAACACTTCATTCACAGCCCTTTTATTAAGCTATGAGACTGCAAATAAACTTTCCTACCAAGGCATGCACCTATGTTTTTCTTCTCAGTTCTCAAAGCTTTCCTGCCAGCCCATTCACTATGACATGTAACTCTTAGCTCCTGCTGGAGCTGGAGAGATGCCAGCATCCTCAGTCACACTGATTGAAACTTGAAGATGGATTGCTTCATCCAGTCCACTGGCATCGCAGTTCAAAGCAAATACCATTAATAGGTCTTTGACCATGATCATTACTTGTCTACAGACCACAAAGTTGGAGGCTACATCCGATATTGTGCGTGCGTCTGCTTTGAGATCAGTTCCTTCATTGTGCAGAAAGGTTTGGGCAGGACACAGAAGACTTTATACTATACCATAAACCCCAGAACCCAGCAGAAAATGGCTTTTATATATCTAGAACTAGGCCATACATCTATGTGTTTACTAGAAGAATGTCCTAAGAGAGTAAAAACCGACTCTATCCAAAACAGTGACTATCCAGCTACCCAAAGCTCCAGGAGGCATATATTTATATCAGATTCCCCAGTTAATACTGGGGAGCAAAAAAAAATGCAGTTATGAAAGCCAATATCTGCCTCCTTGAATATCTGGCTTGCGTTCTTCCATAGGCCAGCTTGTTCTGACTCATCTTCTTCAATGTCCTTCAGGCTTATCAGCGCAGTCAGAAGGTTTAGTGGAGCAATTTGAGTGGATTTGATCAGGGTTTACTTTGGACAAAAGGTGAATGTGACTTTCATTATTCCTTGTAATGTATAAATATGAATCAATAAAAGTTCCTTCTGAAACCTCCAAGGAATGGCGTGCATTTCCAATTAATCTCATAACATGTCTTTAACTGTTTGGCGATGTTCCATAATTGATATACGTTATTTTAATTCAAATACAGAAAAGAGAAAGCTTAGGCCAAGGGGCTTGAGGGAAGGGGGCGAGGGGAGGGGAAAAGGGACATGCATCAGTTTTCAAATATATTTTGTTCATCCAAGCAATCAATGCTTTTCTGAAGCCCTTGTCACATTTTGGCTAACAAGACCCACTGTGAGTGACATTCTCTGTAATTTATAGATAGGGGAAAACCCTAGGACCCAGAAAGAAAAAAAGCATGACTTTGTTCTCCAAACATGTACCAAGTTGCTCCCTGAGCCTAATTGTACAGCCTGGCTATAAGAAGTCCTGGACTGAGCTTGGATACCAAATTCCTTTCAAGGGGGTTTGGTGGGAAATTAGCACTTCAGCTCTTGGAGGAGGTGGCATTTAAGGAGCCGTTTCAGTGACTGTTGCCTGGTGAACTGAAAGGAGAGTATTTCGGATCCAAGAGAAGATTTACAGATAGACATAGAGTGATAGCATGAGAAGAATAGGAAATAAGGAAGTAGCATGTTAAAACTAGCACTTTTAATTCACTAGTATAGAAACAGCCTTTGTATAACTGGATTGGTCCCCAATTCCCACAAGCTCTTTTGCTCCTGTTAGATCCCTTCCTCTGGTTTTTAGAAGTTTAGAAGTTTCCCTTCACCCCAACCCCCCCCCACACACACACACTCCACCCCATCAACAAGGAGGGACCAGAGGGTGGGGGAAAGGAACAACCATTTATTAAGCACCTACTATGTGTTAAATATCATGCTAAGTGTTTTATAAATATTATTTCATTTGATCCTTGCAACAATCCCGGGAGGTAGGTGCTATTATTGTCCCCATTTTACTGTTGAGAAAACTGAGGTTAAATGATTTTCCCAGGGTCACACAGCTAATAGTGTCTGTGGTAGGATTTGAGTTCAGGTTTTCTTGACTCCAGGCCTGGAGCTCTATCTAGTGTGTCACCTAGCAGCTTCCTGTAGCCATCAAGCAGAGCCTTCTTACATGCAATTCATGGATCATAGGATCAGAGTAGTTCATGCAAGAAGGGGTCTTAAAGCCCTTCAATCCCCACCCCCTCATTAGACAGATGAAAAAATTAAGTCTCAGTAAAGGTAAGTGATTTTCCCAAGGTTACCCACGTAATGGGCAGGGACAGGATTCAAACCCAAGTCTGCTGATTCTATACCCCCACTGCAATGGATCACCCTAAAAAGACCAACTTCTGTCCCCACTGACCAACTTTGGTTTTCTTTATAACTAGGGGCAAACCAGCTGGCTTCCTTGGACTCCCATGTTGTGGCCCTCAGTTCTATTGTTTGTTGTGTGGGGCTTTGCTACCTAATGAATAGCACCAGGGGTCCCAAAATCTAGTGTTGGGTCTGATTTTTTTTTTACAAGATTTAAGTTGCCGTATGTGGTAGCACACACTTGTGATTCCCACTACCTGGAGAGGCGGGGGCTGGTGGATCATTTGAATTGGGGAGCTCTCAGCAGTAGCGCTGAAGCCAATCAGATGTCCACACTGAGGCCAGCACCAATATGGCGAGCCTCAGCTGCTTAAGGAGGAGCAGATCAGCCCAGATTGGAAACAGCAGTTCAAAGGTTCTGTTCTCATCCATAGCGTTATCATATTATGAGTGGTGGCTGCCCATAAAACCTGGGAGAGAGAGGGAGACCCTGAATCAAAAATATGTATAGTGATCATTTAAATTACATGGAAACTCAATTCCAATGCCTTTTGTTTTCCATTAAATTTATAAACCAGAACAAAGGGAAGGAACTGGAAACCGTGCCTTGGAGGAGCAAGGATGTGATACAAGCTTTTATTTTCTTAACTGTTAAAATCCTGATTAGCTGGTTTAGAGGTACAACACTTCAGCTAGGATAATGACCATGACAACGGTGTGGACTGGACTGCTATCTAGTAACTAAGACTACATTCTATCCCCAGGACCCACAAAACACCCATTGACATGAATGGCTCCTTTCATGTGAGAGAAACAGCGATTTGCTAACTTTTCAAAAGGGTCTTAATCCCAGGCCATACAAAGTGGTGAGCATTGTATGTGGTACAGTAAATAATATGTTGACTGAGAACCTTTTTAAAGCTCAGCAAATTTCCCTGGGTTCCATTTTAATCAAGGGTAGGGGTAGGGGCAAGGGGGATCCTTGGGCAATATTATGCCTGAGTACTAAGTGCATTGTCTATTCTAGTACTTGCCCATCTCTGCCTGTATCTCATTAATCACTTTCATATTGTGCCTGGAAAAAGCATTCAAATGCAATTCAATGCATTTCAGCACTGCATTAGAACTCCAGGTGGATGACACAATGGATGTTGATGGGGCACGTGATCTCTGGACATTGAGCTGGGCTGATGGCAAAGAAGTGTCTATCCTCAAACTTGCCTTATTTCTGAAGGTCGGTAGTTTCGTTTCGTTCTCTTTTTTTAACCAGTGGATTGAAAAGTGGCGAAATCATGCAGGGGACCAAGAAATTATCACAGTGTAGCTTCTCTCTAGCCAAGAATCATTCATTGCCCTTTGCTTTGTGAACCAGGAGAATTTGAAATCTTCCCTTTGTGAAGAGTGGAGGGGAGGGGGGGAAGAGGAAGGTAGAGGAGAAGTGGAGGAGGGGATGGAGAAAGGGAAGGAGAGGGGAGGGGAGAGGGAAAAAAGCTTCTATAAGGGTTGCTGACTCTGGCATCATTAAAACATTTACCCTCTCCTCCCTCTGTCATCCTCTCCCTTTCACTCTTCCTCAGTCTTTATAGGAAGCAATGTGAGGCAGTATTATCATTCTACTTAGGCTTGCACATATATGTATGTATATATATGCAGATAGATGTTATGCACAATGACCTAAGATTCTCGTAAGCAAAGGAAGCACATCTTTTTGTCAATGGCTTAGGCTACTGAATGTCTCTTCATCATAACTTCCCAGATCCGCTATAAAGAGGGAGATTTCACTGGCATCTTTAGTCACTCTTCTGTATTCAGAATGATTGCAGGAAGTGTGTGTTGATTGGGGGGAAAGACTGTTAAGATTTGAAATTTTAAATAGTTGTGCCATTAACTGATCATGCTCCAGGGAACAATTTTTACCTAGAAAGGTTTTGATTGGGGGTATCCAAATACATATTGCATGTGTTAAAATCTTTAAAATCCATATAATATACATGTAGATGTATAAACCCAAATTCTTCTGTTTCTTGACTTTTTATTAAACCCCAGGGGAAATGTACAATTTATTCACTACGTGATACCAAAGTTACTCTGTACTGATGAAAATTCCAGCATCTGAAAAACACCAAGATTTATCAAGAGACTGCAGCAGTGCACAAAGAAAGTTGTCAGTTGAGGGACAGTGATTTTTTTTATTTTTTTTAAGTGAGACTTGATTTCCCCTCTTGCCTACATGCATCAGGTAGTAAAAATAAAATACCTAATACCACCTGGGTTTTGGTTTTTTTTTTTTTTTCCTGTTTGGACTGGTGTATTATCGATCACATATCCAACTACAAGTGGATGGTTGACTTCTTTCTCCCATCTCCCTTCAGAGCTCTGCCTGCTTATTTCTCTAATTGCAAAGAAGCAAGTGAGACAAAAGGACCAGACTAAAAGAATGGAGCTTGCAGAGAGAAGAAACTGATTTAATAGCTTTGTGTTTTACTCATTTCTAGAACTGACGATGGTTTCCACCGAGCCCTTACTGTGCACACGGCTGGGCTGCCATAAAGCCATCTGAGCTGATCTTCCTAAATAGGTTAAAAGATGACACTGAGATATTCTAAGCGGAGATGATTTCATTTTTCCCCCTCTCACACGTTATAGGGGTAGATGGTTCATGTACTGATTTGTTCTACCAGATACAACATTGGGGTATCTTCCCCTTCCCTGCCAGCTTTCTGAGGTTCGGCCAGCATTGGAAGCAGACTGTCTCCTGGGTACAAGAGAGGTGATCTGAAGCAGCTATTCTCCTTCAAGGACATTCTGTTCAATCCATTATCTCCTACTCGGGAGCAATAGTCTAGTCCATCAAAATACAGTGATTGAATAAAACTTTTATTTCAGATAAATGAATACATTGATTTAATAAAAGGTTTGTACTATATGGTATAATAGTTCTCTAAATGAACACTGAAATACTAAAATGTGGAAACTTTTCATTGGGCCAAGTTAAATCATGCTCACTCCTCCTTGAATGTCTCCCCTAGTAGGAAACCAGAGCATTTTGAAGGCAGGACTTTCTCTTTTCACCTGTTCTGATCTCTTAGCTTTTAACATCTTTAGCCCTTTAAAAGCCACCTGTTTTTGCCAAAATAACAACATCTGGTATGAGGAAAGTGTATGACAATTGCTGACAATTGACTAATTTGTGATATCCCATGGCGTATTTTCATATTGTTGGCAGGCTAGCCCGTGTTGATATATTAGCCTGACATTTAGAATCAAGGCTTTGGATCCTGAAAGCTTTCCTTTTTACCTTTATGTCTTCCAAATCCCAGAATCTTTAGGTCTCAGTTCCTCATTTGTAAAATGAGGGGGATGACCTCAAAATTCCCTTCTAACTCTAAGTCTGATCTTGAACTCTATGAGCCCCAAGCCTCAGAGAAGTCTAAGGGAAAGGTACACAGAGCCCCAGCATTCTGGGCAAAGAGAAGAGAGGGTATTTATGGAAGCACTCCATTTAAGGTCTACTGAGTGAGCCTCACTTCTTGGCTTAATTGCCAATTCTCTTTGAAGAAGCCTTTCCATCTGCCTTCCTGAGATTTTATCCCACAATCCTTCGGTGAGCACATGAATCCCTAGAAGTGACTAGGACAGGTCAGCTCAACTCCATTCATGTTTCATGGGGTATACTGTAAGTAAAGGAGATCAGACTTGGTTTCCCTGATTACCCACCCCACCCCTTCATTATACTTGGA